GGCGCCGAGCCAGCGCATGGCAATTCTGTGTAGCATTTTCCAGAATGAGGAGCCAGAGGGGTTGTGTATGAACAACTGTTAGCATTCTCCTGACACCACCAGGTTTGTCGGTTAGTGTCTGTCTGGCTGTATCTGTCCATCTATTACCTTGTCAAGGGTTCAGGGCAATAGAACACTGAATCCTGGGGGAGAAAAACAGGGTTTGACTTGCCTGCACTAAAAGTGCCGGAACACCGAGTCTCTGCCTCAGCATTCTTATTTCTAAAATCGAGAAAATAGTTTTTGCTTATTTCCTAGGAATATCGTGTCAGTGAGGAACATCATGCCTCCAGAACTGTGTGGCCTACGCTGTTAATGCAGCTCCTTTCCAGACAGGAACTATTTGAGCAGAATGGGAAAAATACATGAGATTTTGCTTAACGAACAGCCAGGGTGTAAGATCATTTTGAGTCACAGCCCTAAGTCATTTTAGGGCTGAAAGGAAGATGGATTCAGGACACCGATGAATTTCATAAAATCCCCTGCCTGCACACAAGGAAAGGATTCTGATCGCCCCTGAAATGTCTCAGTCAGCAACAAAAACTGGGGGTGGAATTTGCAAGATCCCAGAAAGCTGTTCCTGACCTCTGATCCTTGCTGGAGAACTTCATTCCCTGAACTGCAGCTTGAGAGCTTTGCAGAGCAAAGAGGCTGAAGAGCTACTCTGAGCAAGGCCTGTTTCTCAAAACGCAAGCTCCACCAGGCAAACGCATACCTCGCACTGCAGGGCCCGAGAGTTCTCCACTGCGACTGATGCATTTTCAGTTACCTCACCCAGGCTCAGAGACAGAGACCAGAGCCTCGAAGAGCCCCACCTTGGGAATCCTGCCCCCCAAACCTCAGCTCATAGTACTCTAAGAACAAATGAGGGGAGATCTATCAGTCAAGAATCCTGTGACTACAGAGTTTCCAGGAAGGAGACCATCACAGACAGGTTCTGAGAGCACAGTGGTGAAAAGTCACCAGCAGTGCTGATCAACAGAATCTTCTGTGATAAAAAAAAAAATCTCTATTTTTGTTTAGAAATATTGTCTATTTTTTGAGACTTTGGAAAAAACATAACAAGTGATAACTCTATACTGAACCTCAGCGTCAAAGCATTCCATAATAGTCATACTTTTATTTGACGATGTGAATGCTACTTTCTTTGCATTACTATTATTATTGCTTAAAACTTCATTGCAGCAATCGTCTGATTTCTTTTCTGAATGTGTTTATCTTCATTCATTCTTTACGAGGTTTTTGTGTCTAGTCCTTAAACATTGTTATTGTTGGTAAATTTTAAGCCTTTTTAATTCTGGGAAGGCAAAAAGTAGAAACCCAATAATCACATGTATATATAAAAAATAATAAAAAGAAAACATTCTCTCTCTGTACTGTACAGGACAATAGCTTCTGGCCACAAGTCCCCCAATGAGGAACCGAAATGTGCCAAGTACACTGAGAAATTGTTTTACGTCTTAACTAATTTTCACTTAAATAAGTAGTCACATGGGTCCAGTGGCTGCTCTTTTGGCCAGTACAGATACAGACCCTGGGGTTAGACAGTTCTGTATTCAACTCCTGGTACCACTACTTACTTCCTGTGTAACCTTAAGTTTTTATTTAATCTCTAAACCTCCACTTCCCCATCTGAAAAAAATAAATGGAAATTATAATATTAATAGGATTTATTCTGAAGGCTTCTTGTTAAGACTTCCATGAAATAATAAGTAAATGATGTAAAGCATTTAGCCCAGGGCCTGGTAAGCAGTGAGGGCCCCACGTCATTATTGGCTATTCGGCATGCAATGGGAACCTTCAGATCTGGGTGCAGTCCAGAAGCTGGAAGTGTCTGTGTGATGCACCGCACATTTTACCTGTGAAAAAGATGTAGGTCGAGCCCATTTTGGCCTCATCCTTCCTGCAGATGTAGCCATTGCAGAGCTGCCCCCAACAGCTGAATTCGCCTGTGTCAGCAGCTGTGGAATTGACCAGAGTCAACTGGCCATAGCGCTCGTGCTGTTTGACACTGTGCAGAAAAGAGACACAAAGTCAAAGCAGGTCAGCCCCGGCCGGGGACCCTCCAGCCCTCACCCAGGGGTCCTTTGTTCTCAGATGCAGACGTAGGAGTTTGTTCTCTCCAGTGGCACAAAGTAATTGAAGTGTGTAGGGGAGGCAGAGAGGAAATAATAAGTGACAATTATGTTTTCCCAGGAGGAGAAATTCTCTTTGACCTCAGAGCTGGAGTTTCCTTAAGCAGGATCATGGGTGCATTAGCCAGGAAGCCTCAGCAGCTCAGCAGGGAAGCCTGGGGCTGGTGTTTTCCTTTCAGCCTGTTTCTGATGAGTTCCTTTAAAAGCAGACAGCATGAAAGAAACCACCCGGCATTATCCAATATTCAAAATCCCTTTTACCAGCGAGGATAAGCCTCCAAATATGAGCCTGAAATCTTAGAAATGCTACATCATCATCTTTAAAATAATAACTTTTCTTTAGGAAAAAATGCATTGGCTGGTAAGATCCTTGACCTCTAAGTATGCTCATCTCTAGTAGAGTACAGAGAGTCACTGGACATGCAAACATTTCCTCTGACCTCTCTACTATCTCTACTTTTTTTTTTTTTTTTTTGAGACAGAATCTAACTTTGTCACCCTGGGTAGAGAGCCATGGCGTCATAGCTCACAGTAACCTCAACCTCTTGGGCTCAAGCAATCCTCTGGTTGCCAGAAGACAAGAAAGAGAGAGAGAAAGAGGACCCAGACACCATGTTTATAAGAGGAAGGGCTTTATTTCAGCTGGCAGAGCTTACAGTGAGAGAGGATACCCTAGAAGGGTGAGGTCTAGGAGAACAGGTCTTCTCAAGGAGACCACAATACACCTGCAGGGTCCTCTCCATGATGACTTGGCTCTGGGGAATTTGGAACTTGGAAATTCTGTAGGGGCTGGAATAGCATCTCCTGCTTGATTCAAACTGGCCAATAAGAAGGGTACCTGTGGGGTGGAACTTTTTGACTGTCAATAAAAAGGGAAAGACCAAGCCAGTTGGAAAGCATGGCCGTTTGGAAATCTTCTATGCCGCGTAAGCTCCCGGCTGATGAATAAAGCCCTTCCTCTTATAAACATGATGTTTGGGTGCTCTTTCTCTCCATTGGGTCTCCTCTTCCTGCAATAACAGAATAGAAGAATTCGAAATGGCCGGGCTCCCCAAATGGCTTTCTCTTTTTATCTCCAGTCAAAAAGTTCCATCCCACAGGTTCCTTTCTCATTGGCCAGTTTGAATCAAGCGGGAGATGCTGTCCCAGCCCCCACAGAACTACAGGATTTCACAGAAGTGGAAATTTCCAGGTCCCAGGAGGTCAAGCCTACAAATTCCTAAGAGCTGAGTCACCACAGAGAGGACCCTGCAAGTGTATCCTTGGGGTCTCCTGGAGATCTGTTCTCCCAGTCCTCACCCCTCCTGGGTATCCTCCCTCACCCTTGTCTCAGCCTCCCAAGTAGCTGGGACCACAGGCACCCACCACAATGCCTGGCTATTTTATCTTAGAGATGGGGGCTTGCTCTGGCCCAGGTGAGTACTTTTCTTTTTTCTCTCTCCTGTTTTCCATCGTTTCATGGAAGGTGTATCTGCAAACCCCTCCATTTCCTTTTTGAAATGAAGAAAGGCAAAAATAGTTATTATTAAATGCTACCATTAGCCAATTCTGATGGTAATTAATTATGTGAGATTGTGAGAAATCCAGATGTATCTTCCTTGCCATGGAAGCTCCTCTGTGGTTTTTGAGTCAGCGTGGGGGTGTGAGTGCCAAAATAAGTGGTTTTACTCTGGGGATCCACCTCGAATTCCAAATGCTTCACCCCTCTGAGAGTCTCCGATTTTATCTTGCAGCAGTATCAACACAGCAATCACATTAACTTCAGAATACAGCAAAACGGTTGGTTGGTCTTCAAAACAGCCCTGTTGTGCTCCCTGGTGAATTGTTTTGTCCCCACCCCTGTCCTGCCAGACGCTGCTACTCCCACGCCATCAACTGCCTCCTTTCAACGGAAATCTCTCCTCCTTCAGGAAGTTTCTGATTAGGATCAACTCTCAGGAATCTCCCCACTTTTTCCTAATGATGTAATGGGCTCTCTTGTTATCTGTCCCCTGCTTCCTGTTATTCCCCTGGTAAAAACTCGGAGGGAAGGGATTGAGCCCTATTTGTTTTAAATTCTCTAAGCAACAAATCTGGGCAGAAAGGATTCCCTAACCATGAGTGAGAGGAATTGAACTACAGTGCTGGAAATGAAAGGAACCCAGAAAAGCCAGCTGCCAGGTTGCTGTTTTGGAGACGAGGAAACGGAGTCTCTGGCAGAAGTGGCTTCTCTGAGAGCCAGAGCTGGGGAATAGCTGAGCAAGTCTCCCTTAAGTCCAGTATGTACTGAATACAGGCTCATTAGACAAGGAAACGCACACAGAGCTCCTCCCGCAATGCCAGTTCATTGTATTATCCTAGTTATATCTTAATTACATGTAATTAGAGATTAGTAGTAGCTATCATGACTATTACTATAGCAATGAGAAATAATACACAATTAGCATTGGGAGTGGTTAGTACAGCAAATAAAAGACAGTGGACTTTATTTTTTGAGACAGTCTCCCTTTGTCACCCCCTGTAGAGTGCTAAGGCGTCATAGCTCACAGAAACCTCAAATTCCTGGGCTCAAGCGATTCTCTTGCCTCAGCCTCGCAAGCAGCTGGGACTACAGGCACCCGCAACAATGCCCGACTATTTTTAGAGATGGGGTCTTGCTCTTTCTTGCTCAGGCTGGTCTCGAACCCGTGAGCTCAGGCAATCCACCTGCCTCAGCCTCCCAGAGTGCTAGGATTATAGGTGTGAGTCACTGTGCCTGGCGAGACAATGGACTTTACAGATATTACAATCTAGAGGTTGTGGGAGCGGGCCAGGTGGCTGAGGGGTTTGGCGACGCAGAGGGAGGGAAACTTTAGGCCACTTGGTAGTAGGTGGGGCACCCCAGGAGGAAGAAGGACCAACTGTAGAACTGGGCCAGAGAAAAAAGCCAAAGTCTTCAGAATATAAGGAATCTGCCAAAGAACAGAAAATCAAGGATGCTCCAGTTCTGAAAAGGCTCCAAATACTTCTCTCTCTGACATCCAGGCTGGTGCAGCCGCCTGATCATATTTCACTGAACCCTTGATCTCCTGGGTTCAAGTGATCCTCCCATCTCAGCCTCCCAAGTAGCTGGCACTACAAAACACTGCTGCAACTTTAATATTTACACACACACACACACACACATATATATATTTTTTGAGACAGTCTCACCATACCACCCTCAGTAGAGTGCTGTGCAAACATTTCCTCTGACCTCTCTACTATCTCTTAAAGTTGCTCACAGCAACTTTAAACTCTTGGGCTGAAGACATTCTCTTGACTCAGCCTCCCACGTAGCTGGACTACAGGTGCCCTCCACAACACCTGGCTATTTTTTTTTTCTTCCAGTTGTCCTCGTTGTTTACCAGGCCCAGGTAGGGCTCAAACCTGCCAGCCTCAGTGTATGTGGCTGGCACCCTAACCACTAAGCTACGGGTGCCAAGCCTTATTAACATATTTTAAAAATTATTATTTTAGGTAACCAGTACTACAAGAGTGCTGATTGTCATCAGCTGCACTTGACTATAGGCAAGAGCTGAGTTTAGAACAGAACTGGCCTATCTGCAAGGGGTGTAAAGAAGAAACTAGACCGTGCAAAAATTCTGAGACTTATGGCATTGAAATTTGTCCTGTTTGTCTTTTTCATCCAATAGAAGTTAAAAATCAAATGCTTTGAGTAACAAAGGCTGCTTAAGATGAGTCCTCAGGGCAAAGAGCAAATCAGGGACATGGTTATTGTAGAATTTGTTAAAATGCATGAGTGAATTAAGGTAGTTCCTACTAAACCCTTCAGTTAGATGCAAGACTTAGAAGAACGAGAGGTGTTATCCTCTGGTTAGGTAAGTGCCAACTGTGTGAGGCTGCCAGGGACCTGGAAGGCATGGAGGACACTCCGGCAGGATTAGGAAGTTTCATCTGTTCACTACAGAATGAGATAACAGACGGGGCTGGATGTCATGGTACATTGTTGAGAATAGCAAGAGGGGCCAGGTGCAGTGGCTCATGCCCATAATCCTGGCATTCTGGGAGGCTGAGGTGAGCAAATCATTTGAGCTCAGGAGTTCAAGACCAGCCTAAGAGCAAGACCCTGTCTCTACTAAAAACAGAAAAACTAGCCCAGCATGGTGGCGGGTGCCGGTAGTCCCAGCTATTTGGGAGGCTGAGACAGGAGGATCTCTTGAGCCCTCATGTTTGAGGTTGCTATGAGCTATGATGATGCTATGGCACTCTACCTACTACAGCAACCCAGTGAGATTCAAAAAAAAAAAGAGAAAGAGAGAGAATAGCAAGAGGGGTGTACATCTCATCTCACTCACCAAGCAGTGGGGACCATCTCCACTTTGGGAGGTGGGAATGGGGGAGAACACCAGCTGGGGCCTGGGCCAGGAGACCCAAAATGGAAAAGCAGGAAGAGAGGCAGAGTCTGGGAGGGTGTCATTGTCGGGCTATGTACCGAGACCTGGGCTGGGCATTGGCTGTGGAAGCAAAGCAACCCCAAGGATAGGGAAGGATGAAGCTGGATGGAGTGCGAGGGGTGGAGGAGCGCACTGCAGCAGTGGTGACCACCACTGTGCTTCTGTGCGTCTGAAAGACGAATGGGGCTATAATTGATGGAAATGGAATCACTGGGAAGAGAGAAGAGATTTGAGCAGGCAAATACAGCAGATTCGCTGCAGGAGACTTTGAATTTGGGATGGAATGTGGGTCATGTAAGTGTGAGTGTCCTGTGGGCAGCTGGAAAGACCATCTGGCACAAAGGGGGTAAAACAGCACTAGATTTATATCTGGGGGGACTGGCTACAGAGGGTCAGGGGGAGAAGCCCAAAGGAATGGCTGGACTCAACGAGGAAAAGAATAGAAGAAAAAGAGAAGGTGG